CCCGACAGTCAACATCCTCCTACCTTTTCTCCAGTCATGCTCCTTCCTCTGCGGAACAGGGCCTAAAGATCGCACTGGCCACGGTTCTCCTTTTTAATTCAACCACCGCACTTTTTGTCATTTATCATAATTTGTTAACGTCTCCAATAACAACGGTTTTGAAATGTACATTCTCATCTCACCAACTACCGAAGATGCAGCCATTACGATGGTCCTAACTTAACTAGAAGTATTTTTCGTTGAAGAAGACATTTATTTGAGCGAAAATAATCTACACTGTTCTAACATTAGACAAACATTTCAGCCAAGTTGGAAGTTATCGTATGATTAAAGCAAATGGACACGTGTAATTTTCAGACTATTTTCTTGGGCCGTTATTATTATTATCATACGTCTGGAACTTACATTAAATACTTAGCGAGGTCAAATTGCGCAACCAGTATTGAAGTATGTTAGTTTCAAAATAAAGCTCCATTTGTTTAAAGTGGCATTAAGTATGAAAGGCTTATCCCAATTTACTCATCACTATATGCGAGTTTCTGCAAGTTCCCTTCTGCACTCAGGGTACCTTGTCAGTAGAACCGGACTGCTCTTAAGCAAGCACCTCCAATATGGTGTGATTTCTTTGAGTTTCAACCATTTAGTTTGTTTCAGTTTATTCAAGAAATGAGGAAAATTGTGCTGGGTTACTGTTCATTAACCTACAAAGCAAGTAATGGACAGGTTTTAGGCAGTCCAGGACAGCAACTTTCCCTGTTCCTTAAGTTTCATTTACAAACTGTGTAAGGCAAGTAAAGGCTCCAAATAAATCTACAAATTAGGTACGTTTTATTGATCCATAAGGTACTGACTCCTTGGCTAATTGAAGTAGTGTGTGCGCATTTATCTAATAAAATTAGTAAGTACAGCACAGAATGAGGTTTTTTTATTCTGGACAATATTACCCAGCCTACGAAAACCCACAGGCCTTATAATTATTTTGGCCTGTTTGGCAAGTTTTAATTCAAACTCTGTCCACAAATGTCTGAAGAAGTAGATAAGAGTAATTTACCACCCAGAATTTCAGTCATCTTAATCTAAAAGAGGTCAGCGAAATATGAGAAGACGTACTTTCAGGAGCATGCACATACGCCCCTGTGCTGGTATGAATCAGGTTCCCAGAAGTTGAATGCACAGCGGGAAACAAACTAGCCTGCTTCTCCAAACCCGTGCTACAAGTTGGCGGGACAACGACCGATTGAGACCGTGTTGCATATGGTAGCTTGATATGACTGAGAGGACTGGGCGGTGAGGCGTAGTAGGGACCCAGGCAACTATATATTGGATCGTCTGCCGTTCTGATCGTGTTCAGACTGCTCCGATGCGTTTTGACAAAGCCCACGCCGCCAGGCAATTGAAGTCGCGGGATCGGTGATGGGGGAGCAAGGAGAGTTTCAGAACTGGGTAGGCTCGTCTTGCGCTCGCGTTTTTCACAGGGGTACGGGAGGTTTTTTAGAATGCTACTAAGCTCCATTATATTGCTCCTATTGCTGCAGCCACTGACAGTCAAGGAACTGGCAATTGACGGACTTGTGGTTACAGTCGCAGAATCAGTTAACTCAGCGGGCGGCCCATCACCAAC